GCATTTTCGTAGTTATTATTTGTGGGTTCCCAATAAATTAATTACTACCACATGCATAAGGCATTTTTGATAAATTAGTAATTACGAATTAAAATTATTTTTTTGATTTCCCAATAAATTAATTATTATCACATGCAAAAGAGCATTTTTGATAAATTAGTAATTACAAATTAATACTACTATTTTGGTTTCCCAATAGGAAAATTATTTCATGCGGTCAAGGACCGCATTTCTAAAACATGTGGTCCAGAGGTACAAAGCATCCATCTTAAAGATGGGTGCAAATACGTTGTTCATCTAAAAACAAGTGCAGCTAACAGTCCAAAAGTTTTCTTAATACAATTATCATTTCTAGTTTTCAAAATTGTTTTTTTTTCATATTCATGATCTCCATGTTAAAGATTATACATTCTCTAAAAATTAGGATTAAATTATATTTAAAAATATATATTTAGTGCCCAGCCTGCATTTCTACAATATGCAGGTTGGCCGCATAGAAACCATGTCCTTCCCAATAAATTAATTACTATCACATGCAAAAGGCATTTTCGATAAATTAGAAATTACGAATTAATATTATTTTTTTATTTCCCAATAAATTAATAATTAATGTTACATGCAAAAAGTATTTTTGATAAATTAATAATTATGAATTAATATTATCTTTTGGTTTATCAATAACATAATAATTAATGTTACATGCAAAAAGCATTTTCGACAAATTAATAATTACGAAATACTATCTTTTAGTTTGCTAATAAATTAATAATTATTGTTACATGCAAATTACGAATTAATTACGATATTTTTAAGGCGGCCCCAAGCTGCCCATCTTTTACACCGCCTAGGCGGGCGCCTAGCTTTTTCCACCTAATATAGTCCATCTTGACCACACCTAGGCGGCCGACTTTTCGTTCATTGATACAAACTAATGCCATACTCTGATCTGGCTACTTCAATTCCTAGAAAATACCTCAGCTAGCCCAAATCTTTAATCTGAATAGATATTGTTTTATATGTTTCAAATGGCTAATTCCTTCTTGATCATTGCCAGTAAGAACAATATCATCAACATAGACAAGTAAAACAATTATTCTGGAGTCTTGTTTCCAAATAAACACTGAATGATCTGCATGACTGCGCCAAAATCCATATGCTATAACAATTTTACTAAACTTTTCAAACACTGCCTGTGGAGATTGTTCCAGTCCATAAATGCCTCTCTTCAACTTACACACTTTATATGACTCCCTTTGAGGAACAAACTCAGGTGGTTGTTCCATGTACACTTCGACTTGTAAATCACCATGGAGGAAAGCATTTTTTATAGCAATTGCCACAAGGCCATCCCTTATTGGCAGCCACAAATATAACCACTTGAACCGATATAAGGAATTCAAGAAAGAAATAATTCAAGAAAGAAAAGATTCAAGAAACATAAAGGATCAACTTTGATACCATGTCCAATAATATAAAAAGAAAAGGGGAAAAAGAAAGAAAATGAGAGAGAAGGGAGAAGAGAAAAATATGAGAAACATGTGAGAAAAGAGAAAGACATGTGAGAAAAGAGAAAGACAGGAGGTTCAACCCACCCTCACACATCTCTCAGCCTTATATTTTATTAAAATTTATGATATAGATAAAACTTCCCATACAAATATAATTACAACACTTAAGTCCAAAACTTAGATAACAAAGGATTTTAACATATAAGTAGAAAGTAACATTGAAATAAAAAACTATGAATCCAGAAAACAAATGGAAAGAAAAAGGGAAATTATAAGAAATATACCTTAATTCTCTTTTAATTGGAAAAAAACCTCAACTTTCATAAACATCATCCACACCCTTTTTTGTAAGCTTTGATATTTTTTTTACCAAAATAGTCTTCACAGTAGTCGTATTAACATAAGGACTACTGCATTACGGTACTTTATGACAGAGCCTTCACGGTAATATGACTACCGTGAAGGCTATTTTGGTAAAAAAAAAATGACAAAATTGAGGAAAAAGGGTGTCGACGAGGTTTATGAAAGTTGAGAGTTTTTTTCTAATTAGAAAAAAATTAAGATATATTTCTGATAATTTCCCAAAAAAAAAGGTAGAAAAATGTGGTTGAAAAAGTACCAAATATTGAAATCCAAGTTTTTCGGTTTTGATTCAAAAAAATTGTTAGACCTTTTGTAGATCAATGTGATAGGAGCATTTTGGGACAGATTTCAGTGAATTTGGTGAACAAAATGGGAGAGAAAGATTTCCTATTGCAGGTTCAAAGAAACCACAAAATTTGAAATTTTGGTTTCTCTCATTTTGATTTTGATACTACAATTTCATATAGGGTTTTGATGGAAGACTTAAACATGAATAATTTGAAACAAATTTCAAGTTTTTTTGCTAAGAATCAAGTGAGAAACTGGAATAAAGGCGGATAAGAATTTTAGGCTTGAAGAATCATGAGATTTTGGTGAGAAAACCTCGTCAAAATCTAAAACTAATCCAAATAATCTATTTTTGGATTAAAAAGATGCCTTCAACAATTGATTTTGAGGGTTAATTGGAACTTCGATCCCAATAAAATACAACATGGAGTTTTTTTTTATAATGTTAACCTTGGATTTAAAAACTGATTTTTTGGTTGGGGAGTTAAAATGCATTTTTCCTAGGTTTTTTTAAGCGTATGACCGGGACCGTGCCAGTCCCAAGCCAACTCACCGGTTTTTAATCCCTAGCTTTTATGTTACGTACACCTTCATCATTACTTCCACCACCCTCCATAACTAATGACTAAAGATATATATTGGCTCTTTTGATTTTTTTTCTCTTTTTGATAAGATCAGATGGCGCTCTTTCCCAATGCCATTATCCTACTAGATGAGAGCTCCTACAAATCCTTTTCTTAACTCCTTTGCATACTTCCACTCTGACGGATAAAATTCTTGTCCCTCGCACTCATTTCCAAGCCCCAACAGTTTGAGCAGAGGAACTAACATCAATTTTAAAATTTGTCAGTACACGCAATGCCTATATTTCAAGATCAACAAATGCAGCATATGTAGACTCCATACACTAGGGGTTAATGTGACCCGATGGAGCCATGATGAAGGCCACTTCTGATGTGGTTAACAAATTTAAAAAAGAATAACAAAAATATAATAATATGGAATAATAACATGGATATGTGATTTATGTGATACCAGGCATTTTAATTCAGTAAAAGTCTCCAATATATATGCTATCTGAGTCGCTAATAGAAAGTAGTAAAGATATTTCCTGTCCCTTTTATCTAATACAATTAACATGTGAAATAAATTGATCCAAATTCGTTAAATTGAAGAAACCACGAGAGACTATGTATTATACCAACCAAGCACATAGCAATAAATTAGCATTGAGCAACAAAGTAAACTGCACCATATAGCCAAAATACCAAATAGTAAAGAGTCTAAAGTACTTTGCGAGTACATAACATCTAAAGACCAAAACTTTATGGCATAGAAAATAAATAAAACATTGATTTCAGTTTTGCTAACAAATCCAATATCAAAAGAAATTCTGATTTCCAGGTTTAATTTCCTTGCCCTTTGAGATGCTCGAGTAGAACTCAGGGTCACTTTGATAGTCGTACTTTCATTAAATGAGGACAACAACAACAACAACAAAAAATTATATCCAGATTTGTTCGCAGTGCTCCAACCATAATGCATTTTAACCAGCTCAATATTCTTGTTATACTTCTAAAAAATATTTGCAATATGTTAACTGCATTCTGCCATTATCTATAGTAACAAGAACCGTACTTTCTACCCATTCTCATTACCTTTGGATTCAAGGAGAGCGCTCACAATTGAAAATAAGTTCTGTAAGTTCCTTTAAATGAACTATAACATGTATACTTGCCAAAGAACCAAGTTTTGCCTGGCTTGTGTTGCTGAACAAGGTGTTGATGGTGGACACCTTATGAATAGAGGCACACCTATCCCTAACAGCCGCATCATGTCTAAGAGTCACACATAATCTGTGAAAAATCCATTCCTTCATTGTAATATTGCCACCAAACCATCTTCTGCAATTATTTGGTTTTCAAACGGTTACCCTTTACTCCTTTGAGGACTTAATTAGGCAATGGATGTCCCTTTACTTAACAAAAACATGACTAATCCTACAAAGAATATGCATTTCAGCTATGGGAATTGTGACTGGAGAGAAATGATCATACTTTCAAGATGGTGGTGTACTAGTGTGACATCCCTGTTTGATACAATAAAGTCGATGGTGATTTCTTGGGCTAAGTTGAGAAAGGAATTTTGTGGGTTCTCTGCGTTGGAATTCAAAAACCATTGGCAATCAGTGGTGAGGATTAAAATGAGCAGTGAAACACATTGCAAAATGGGCTCCACCTAACTAAGAAGATTTTTTTTTTTCTTTTTTATTTTTTTGGTGCGTGGGGTGGGGGGTTGGTGTTTGGGGAATTTGAAGAATGTAACTTCATGGGCCAAGGGGGGAATTCATACATCCCTGGAGGCGTGCTAACAATTTTGAAGAAATTTTTGAGATTTTTATGAACATTATCGTTCCGTCCTGTCCTACATGGAGAGAAGCCAAAAGATTGCCGACCAATCAGCAATTCAAAACTGCTCTTGTAGTTTTGTAAATCGAAGTGATCCCATAGAACTCAATTTTGTCCATATTATATAATTGTATAAAATTTAGACTTTATCAATGGAGAACAGTTAGTTTAAAAAAAAATATAAAATATACACTATGCTCCCAATATCAATGTCATCTTCAAAACGATCCAGTTGAAGAAAGATAAGAGTATGCCAGCCAGAAGTCCAATCATATAGAGCAAAGTATACAGTTTCATCAACCAAAATCACAAAGTTCTCAAACCTAACGCTAGATTATCCAACAATTATGCATCCCAATATAATCAATGGAAAAAGCAAGAAATGACGGGAAAAAAACAGTGGAAAACAAAGAAAGAGGTCTCAATAGAATACCCAAAGCTGAAGCTCTGGGTGCTAGCAAAATCCTGTATTTGTTGGCGAACAACATCGATACCCCTATCATCAGAAGCATTGAGCTCAAGAATCATGTTGCGAAGGTTCCCTCCATAAAGCTTTCGAGCAACTGCCAAAACAGTGGAGGTCTTGCCAGTACCAGGAGGGCCATAGAGGAGGAGATGGGGAAGCCTGTTCTCGTTTGTTAACCTATCAACTGAAAACTCACCCAAATTTCATCACCATTAGGGAAAGACAGAGACAGGATAGAGAGAGAGGGAGGGAGGGAGGGAGAACTGACCGGTATCGATTATGTCTTTGTGGGCGGCAACATCTGCGAGGGATTGTGGGCGGTACTTCTCCACCCATGGAGTGGCCTTGGGGAGGAGCTGTTCTCTCTCAACCACCTTCCCCTTTCCCGTCTGCAAATACCTCATATCTTGCTCTCTCTCTACATCCACGTCCATGGGGGATGACATCTCTCTCTCTCTCTCTCTCTCTCTCTCGATTGCAGAGTGCGCGCAAAAGGGAAAACAGCGACGGTGAGCCCCGATACATCCGATTTTTGGACGCGCGAAAACGCGCCTTATTTCCATTTAATTTGGGAACTCCGAATTTTTCGCTGATATTCAAAAAGAGTAAAAGGAAAAAGTTTATATAAGGGTGACGCCCTAAACAATCAAGTTAAGGTGCAAATTAGAAGAGGTGTTTAAATGCTCAAAAATCTTCAAATTAACTATCTCGACCTTAAGACGTATAGACATAAAAAAAAAAAAAAATTTAAGTCTTAAAAATAGTGTATATGTTTTAGAGAGTAAATTTTCACAATTTTAAAAGTGTTCATAGATATGCTTGATCTGCACTATTTTTAAAACTTTAGATTTTATAATTAGAGATGAAAATAATTTTTCAGACTATCATAAATGTTTTCAGTACTGAAACAACATCTTTCAATAGTATTTGAAAGTGTAACTTATTTTGATTGTTTAGGGCCTCAGCCTTATGCAAACCACACCCTTCCAAAAATTTTGCTATGTATTTCATATTTGAAGAAAGTTTATAAAAGGTATTAACGAAGTAGCCAACGCCAAATAATCCAAAGCTTGAAGATGATGATGATGATGAGCTTTAAATTTAAAGTAATGCACACACTTAAAATTTATTTTAAAATGCTATTTTAGTATACCTACCAATTGATGATCTCCACCTTGAGATGCATGGATATGAAAAAGAGGATTTCACGTCTTAAAACTATTTACCTATAAAAAAAATTTAATAATTAGTGCATCTTGTAAGTATTACCTAAATCATTTATTTTCATAATTTTCAAATTTTAATGAATGTGCTTGATCTGCATTATTTTTTAAACTAAAAATTTCATATTTAGATATAAAAACATATTTTCAAGCCATTATAAGAGTTTTTCACACTGGAATTCCATCTATCATAAGGGTTTGAAGGTGCATCTTACTTTGAGTATTTAATGTGGACGCGTTATGTAAACTACATCCTCTAGATTTTACAATTCTAGTTTTTAAATATATTTTTCCCAAAATACTCCTAGTTTGAAACTCCAGAACCAGGAGCCTTTTTATCAAGGGATTGGTTCTAAAATTTGTGATCTAGACTTGCTTGTTCTTAAATAAACCAGTATGAAACTTGGAGTTTTAGATTGGTGTTCACTATAAAAGTAGACAATTAGGTCAGTTCGGAATTCCAAGTAGCAAACCACTCATTCACAATAAAAGACAAGTCAATTGTTTTGAGGCTTCAAGCTCCAAAACGGCTCTATTTAAAGCGACGAAGCAGTTGGGAGCTTTATGTTCTGAATTGGTTAATTCATGAAAAGTTGGTTCAAAACATGAAGTTCCGAACCAATCTCCTAGTCCCCAGAAAAAAAAAAAAAAAGAAACCAGTTTGGAACTTGTAGGTCTCAACTATAGGTATTTTAGTGAAAAATAGATAAACATGAAAAAAGACAGGAATATTGCAACAATTCCCTTTCCATATGTTTAAAAAAAACGAAATTTGAAATATATAGTGTATGTTCCATTGGTATGCATTTGATTAATTTAGTATTTTTTTGAAAAAACGATTTTTATATGAGATAAACATTTTATAAGTTTTTTATATTTTGTTATCATATCCCAACATATTTTATGGCAGTGTGGAGGGTCCTTTTAATAAGGGCGCAGTTTGTATAGAACCGATGCTCTAAACAATCAAAGTACAGCATGCTTGTTTACGCTCTAAACTACGCCAACCTCTTGGATGAGATCTGTTTAAATCTTAACAAAAAAATTGAGTTATTTTATAAAAAAGAAGAGAAAGTGGTGTCGCTTGAATTATGGGCTCAGAAAAAAGATATATACAAATCTAGTCTTTCTCTTAGTCCACTGGCAGCACCTGCTCCAAATCCATATTTTAACCTAAAAATGTTCTAAATTTAATTAAATTTAATAATAAATTAATTTCAAAAAATAAAATAAAACAGAGAATTAAATGAAAAAAACAAACTAAATTGAGCAAAGAAATATATACTTACCTCTAGGGATCCGAAACCCATAATTTTGAGTCTGGATCAGGTCGTTCTTCTGATTTGTGCCACTATATCATTTTTTTGATGCCTTTGCTTGCTCGAATTGATAGATCTAATACTCTTTTCAACTCGACGGATTTTTATTTTATGTTTTTTTACTTTTTTTTATCGCAGCCAACGTCCCTTTCGAGTGTTCAGCCTGGTGGTTTTTTTTTCAACGCTCAAGATTCCCTTTTTTTTTTTTTATCAGGGTGGATTATTTTTTCTTTTGTTTGTCTTTTTTAAGAAGATGAAGAAAGAGGAGAATAATAAGAAGAGTCAGTGGCATTTTTTTTTTTTCTTTTTTCTTTTTGGCACTTTGCCTTACAAAATAGATAAGAACTCGATCATCTTTTCTTCTTCCAGGTGGTAGGGAGGTCCTAGTCATGATTATTCTTAAAATTTCTGTGTCCCTAATTGATATCTGATACTTCCTTCATAGTGGTTGTCAAATTCTTATAGAGTCTTTCTTCTTTTAATTGCTTCATTCGAGCCTTGATCTTCATATTCAAAGTCACTATCAGCTTTCTAGTCCTTCAATCTCTTGCTGGGTTGGCTAAGCTCATTTTCTTCCATTTTTTTTTTTCAACTCTTTAGGTTGTCAATACTACGAAGTAGAATGCCTAAGCAGAGCATAGATGTTCCACTTGGCTTATTTGAAAGGGAGGAGTAAGTGATCACCCCACTCCTTTTTTGTAATCTTTTTCAATTACAATTTCATGTTGCTTTTGAGGAGTATATCGCCTCGAGGAATGTTGGGAGTTACAAGATATGGCATGGGCCCCACTGATTGCCCCTGCTTTATTTTCATCATCAAGTGAGGGTACCTTTATCAAGTGGTTTAGCAAGACTACCTTTTCTTTGAGGGAATAACATGATTTGATCTTCAATGTCTAGTTCTTCGTCCCATTTAGACAAGTTATTTAAAAATCATATGAAAGTGGCACAGATGGTCCCTTAGGACTTCTAAGGGTTCGATTTCTTTTAAATCTTGCAAAGGTGTTAGATCTTCAAAATTGATAAAATTTGGATCCCTCTTTTCTTCGGTGTTGATTGCCAAATCAATCTTAGAGACTGGTGTAATTGAATTCTCTAGATTCAGCTCTTCATCCCAAATATGTGCGTCTGCCAAGAAGTCAAGTGAAGGTGACCCAAGTAGGCCTCTTAGGATCTCTAGAGGTTCAAGTTTTTACATCCATTCTTGAGGGGATGGATCTTATTTTGGGTTCACATTAGGGGATAGTTCAACTGAATCCTCTAGGCTTGACCCATTTTGTTTCTTCTTGAATTGTATTTTTGAGATTAAGGCATTCCTCACTAATACAATATTAATAATCCCTAGCTTCAAGGTCTTGATTAAGCTCATTTATGACTTCAGCCTCTTGTAAAACATCCATTGCACTTATTTGAAAGATGAGATTAATTAAGTCATTTTGTTTTTTAGTGACATGTATCACAAGGATGTCTTGAACTTTCTCTAAGCCCGTATCTGCAACCGGAATAGAGATTTTGCTTGAATAGCTCTCATTTTTTTGAGTTTCCGAACTCTAGATACGGTTACTCTCTTCAGTTGGAATTTGAGAATCCATAGTCTCGGGATTTGGGTCATCTGCCTCTGCCCCACTATATAGGAGAAGGGTGTCTTGAGTCTTCTACAAGTTTGTTCCTTCCACTTCAATTGAAACTGCTTGTATGACAATTTGTTCTTCCATTCTCTCTTAGATTATGGTCCTTGGGCTAACGCAATCCTTGCATTTTCTTTATAAAATTCTGTAGCCACAGGGTTTTGAGTGAGCTCATGCTCATCTGGTATTTTTTTCATAAGATGGATAATTTTGTCCATTTGTGTCTTCATATTTTCAAATTTTACTGGGATTGTTGGAGTTGTTTCCTCCTTTTGTTGTTGGACTTCTCTAATTCTATAGGAGCTCCCCATGGAATAGACCCAAAGCTATGGCAATTCTCATCATTTGGTTTCTGAAATTCCATAATCGAATACGTCACTTTACCATTTCGGTCTTCATTTTCAAGGCAGTTTCTTCTTGCGCCTCAAGGCCATATTCGATGATTTTCAGGCTTGAGCAGGGATTTCGACTTGTCGATCTTCATCAGATTGACGTCTCAGTAGGACTTATTTATCTTCATCAGCCATACCATCTGATATTACCTAGGTTTACTTTGACTAAGCCTCATCTATATCCCTAAGCAATTTTAGTGATGGTTTTGACATGGGATCTGCTTCACATTCATCAACTATCATCTCTTCCCGATCACATTCAGATGAATCTTCATTGTAGTCAGGCTCTTGTTACATCATGACTTCATCTCGTTCTTGCCTCAGTATGGCTTCATTGGGATCTTGCCCTAGTGTGACTGTTGACCGGTCTCGTGCACTTTCCTTTGCTCTCTCATAACGTGATCCATTTTGAGCATTGATTCAAAGAGAAATGACGAATATTTTTACTGAAGTAGAATTTATACTCTGGGGATGCGTTCTCTATGGCATACTGATCTTAGAAGTTTTATAAAGTATGCAATCAATGACTTTTGTTGTAGCTTCTCTAAATTTTTGAGCAAAGTGTGAACAAGCCGTCATGATTTTGTCTGGTGGAGACCAATTCACCAAGGATAATTGGTCTCTCTCTAGTCCCACAATATTGCTCAACAAAACGTTGAAACAATTCATCAGGAGTTTGATTCAAGTATTTTGACATCACCTCTCAAAACCATGTCAAGGGTTGTCCAGATAGGGTATATTGAAATATGGCCTTCAGACAATACGGTTTCTCTTCAAGTGTAGGAATAACCAATATAGAAGTAGTGATGTAATTTTCATGATCATCTGTCCCGTTGAACCTATTTTCGAACTGAGGGAATTCAAAACCCAAACGAATGGATTCGACATCCCCAAGAACATCCTTGGCATAAGATCGTGGAGGGAGTATATTTGGAACTTCGCTCTTAGCTAGGGTCTCTTTAAATGTGGATAATTGGTCCATCAATTCGGCGAGTTCAACT